TTTATATTTATCCCTATTAAATACTTTATGATAAATATAAAGTCATTTACCAATAGAAACACTTAAAAAAAATAATAATTATATCTCAAAAAATTAAAAATATTTTATATTTTTTAATATTTAACTTTTAAAAAATACATTACATTTTTTAAAAAAAGAGTATAAGTTATATATATTATTTTCAACTAAATATCCATATTTAGCTAATTGCATGTATATACTTTTTTGTTGTGATATGAGAAGTCAGAAATACCTAATGGGAAACGAGAAGACGACAATGTGGCAACTATTTATCCGCAGGGGAAGCGTGTGGAAGTGTAGTAAGGTTCATCATCAATCAAAGCCATTATTATTTTATTGCAGACAATTTAGGGTTGGCAGGCAGTGATTCTTTTATATATATATATATATATATATATAAAATAACTCATTAAAATTCAGTTTTATTTGACATCTCTGAAGCATATTGAAAATTGTGATCAAGGGTGTGTCATGTTCATATGTCATCAACACTATTTAATCATGTGGACCCTCCCTCCTCAGCAACCACAGCATCCGCCATTATTATAAGCCTGCTGTGTGTATGTATATATTTATATGTGTATGATTGTACACTCATGTGTGTATATACAAGTGTATGTGTATGTGTGTACATATGTAGTTACAGACACACACACACACACAATACAGAGGTTTTAGCACCATCATCATAAACCCTATATATATAGGTATCTGTGTGTGTAAGAAGTAATATGATCCGTAAAACATGTTGATGATTAATATACTTGTTCAAGTGTATGATGGTTGCAGATTGATAATTGTTCTTCCATGTTCAATTATATTAGGAGAGTTTTAACATTGTTTATTATAATTGGTTAAGGGAAAAAAGTTTACTTATTAATCTATGTTCAATTGCTTTGAGAAATATCCTGAACGAAAATTGAAAATGTTAAGCTAGGATTGTATGCTTACTTGCATCATGGGAAAGTTCACTTTTAAATTTAATTACCTGAAGAAATTATACAAAAAATGAAATTAGTAGAGGAAAAAATTTAATTTAGATTAGATTATTAATTAATATTAATATTAATATTAAAGACGACAAATAATGCAACATTAATTTTCATTATTAAATTTGTAGGTCCATGTTATAAATTTAATATTCTAAAGCTGATAATGTAGCAATGACAGATGAACGAATCAAAATTCATTTTCAGACACAACATATCAATCTATCGTTCAAACTTAGGAAAAACATTTTATGGAAAAAAAATAAAGTACTTGTATTACAGTATAGGTAGAATGATAGTTAGGTTTCAAGCGATTGAAATAATGACAATTACATTCCTGGCAAAATTTTATAAAAAAATGAATTACAAACATTGATTTAAATAGATGCAAACATAAATTGCAATTATTTAAGATTTACATTTAAAAATTTTATTAAAACTTAAAAATTTTTAATTTTCAATTGTATCAATATTTTTACCTTATTTTTCAAAATTTTTTATCAAGAATCTAATTGTTATTAATTTAATTTTTGGGAATTTAGTGTTATTATCTCCCTACAATATATAATCATGGAAAAACATAATAATTGATCCTCATAGTTTTATCAAATTTTGCTTTTAGTCCTTATAATTTTTAGTATTTTTAGTCTTTATTGGGACTAAAAACACTTAAAACATTGAAATTATATTTAGTACTTTCACCCAAATTTACTGAAACTATATAAATTAAAAATACTGAAAAAACTATAAAAATTAGAAATAAAATTTAATGAAATTATAAGGATTGATGATTATAATTTTCTCTATAATCATCATATCAATGTTATTAATCCAACTCTATAAAATATATTATATATTTCAAATATGTTCTAGATCTTTCTTTCAAACTGTTTAACGAATAGAGTATCAACGATAACATTCATAATTTGATGATTTTTTTTGCTCATTAAATTATGTGACTAAGCATGAAGTGAATCATAAGTTTCAATAAAATGGAAAAAAGTGAAAAGAAGGAAGAGAATAATCTTGTGGAAGACAAAAAAAGAAGAAAGGGAAGCAAGAAAGGAAAAGTAATAGAGCCATGCAGAATTACTGGAACAAGAGACAACACACATAAAAACAAGAATCCCAAAGAAGGGAATAATTAAAGGCACATATAGATAGATGATAAAAAGAATAAACCGATTATTATTTCACTATAAAAATTAATAAATAAATATTTTATTTTATCAAAGAGAATCCCTTTCCCCCCTTCACTGCAGAATATGAAAAGAACAGCTTTACAGACCAACCGTGATGTCCTCGTAATTTTTGTACAAACAATTGTAAAAGTTGTAATTCATTTTTGCCTCATTCATAAATAAATACGTATTTAATAATTACTACAATTGCAATCTTATATATATATATATATATATCATGGATAAATGGTCCGCTACATATATACTTAAGACAACTATTTGATCAGCATACGTATTAATAGCTTAAATAAATAATTATGTGGTATTGTCGAAAAAACTAAGTATAAAAAATGTTTAAGGTGTACAAATAAACCATGATATAATTTAATAAATATGGCTTGCGTGGAGTTACGTGGTTAATTTGTTTATTTGCATGTTATAATGTTGAAACATTTATTCTATTAATAATTGTAATTTGTTATATTATTGGGTCCTACACTTACTGGAAACGAGCCAGGACCCAGAAAAACACTTGTGTAATGTAGAAACTAGCAATTTATTGGAGAGCGCGCGCGCGCGCGCACACACAATACAATGCATGGGTTAACATTTAGTTTACACTATATTTAGTACGGTTAAAAGCAGAAACAAAAGTAATTTTTGGACAATATTAAGGATGTAACTAACTTTTCTACTTAATTTTGAAATTCGTTAAAAATTAATTATATTAAGAATAAGAAGAACAATGTCACAAAAAGTATATATACAATTATTTTACGCTTCAATTTAATGTAACAACTAATCAGTTCAGTGATTAAATTTTCTATTTAGTTTCAATTTAATGAACAATTTTCTCCACAGATTTTAATAAAAAATTTAAATGTTAAGAATATCTAATTTTGAGAAACTTAAAATTATTATCCCTCAATATCTTATCATATAGATTGATTCAAAGATTTTTGTTCTTTTGCGTGATATTGATTCGAAGATTAGTAGACATTGCAATGAAGTGTGAAGATACACAAACATAATGATTATTATTTGATTATTAAAAAAAAATATTGGAGACATATTGGAACATTCTCAACTACAAACCTTACCTATTCCTTTAAATTTCTATCTCCCTGTCATGTGAAAATTCTGAACGAAATTGAATGACAGCTTGTGTATTCCATGAAGACATCATTGACACGTTGAGTTTACTGTTTCTTGACACAACACCACAATCACATAAACCAAATCATGATTTTCTCACTGTACATTCAAACACAGGACACAACCAACTCCTTTAATTTATGTACAATTTAAATTCAAATTTTTCAAAAGTATTTATTGATTTTTTGAATATATATATATATATATATATTATGTTTAATGTATTATTGCTTTTATTATTTCTCTCTGCGGTAATGTTGCGCGTGAAGCAAGAACCCCACTAACAAGTTGCCTATTTATAGCCAAAGACCCAATTATCACCATTCTTGGTACTATGTTTGGCTTTTCTTTTCATTCTTTCCAATCACTCACTTTAATAATTATTAGTCAAAAAATTCAAAATGAAATCACGATAAATTCCTATTTAATAATGTTTATGTGAATGAAACACAAAATAATAATAGCAAGTTCATCTAACTAATAACGGCTATATGTGTGTGTGATGAAAAGGATACAGATAGAAGAAATTGTATATTTTCAATAACTTTTGTCTCTTAAATGGAACACACTTCTTAAATTCTTCCCTTCAACTGTAAGAATATAATGAGAGTACAAACAGAATTAATAGGGTTAAATGTGGCATATACTTATACATTCAGTTTCAATAAAGAGAAAGAAAGGCTTTTTCACCAATAAAGATTGATCTATTTGGTATAAATATTTATTAGTCCATAATTTACAAAGTCGTATGTTCAAATCACTCCTTGTTGGTGATATGAAAATTTTGTTGGTGATTGATATGTAAGTATTTTCATTTTTTTTAAATTTAGAAATCTTGTTCACCTAAATTTTTTGATTTGTTATAAAAAAAGAAAAGCTTTTTCATTATATTCTTTTTAATTGTTGGTTATATATATGGAATGCTTGGTTTTCTATATTATCACTTATTACTATTTTTAGTTGTTGAGTAACTTGTGGTTGGTTATTAACAAAAGAAAATCATTCATTGTTTAACTTTTAGTTAGGTACAACACTTTTTTAACTCACATGTCACAAAATATTTTCTTTTAAAATTATATAAATATTTAATTATTACCAAAAATATAATTTAATGACAACAACATAACAATCCCAGGATAATTTTGAGTTTTGATGTTCAGTTAACTTTTAAATATAAAAATAAAATGAAACCATCTCCATTAATAATATAGAATGCAATATCAACCTTTCAAAAATGCGTAATACCAGATTTTAATGCAATTGTAATATAAATATTTTAATGAATTTTAAATATATTTTATGATGATAATATTTTTAATTTTTTTTAAAAAGTCATTGTTTAAATTGACTCAGTAATGTAATTTTGATCAATATCTATTGAATTTGAATTTAATGATTATAAATATTGGGATATCTAAATTGTTAAAGTTCATATTAACAGTCCACATAAACTTATTCGTTAACTACCTGCCTTTCTTTTGTCCTCCCCACTGTCTGACACTCTCTGCTACACTCTAATGGCGCAAACTTGATGGCTGATAGTGCAAGCAAAGAAATCGCCCCACCTCTTTTTCTTTCTTTCTTTTTTTTCCAAAAAAAAAAAAATTATGTCTTGCTACTTTGTAGCTAATTCCGTCTCCTAAAAACTCCACTGTGCATTCCTCTTTGTCTGTAACCAAAAAAAAAAAAAAATCTGCTTCTCCCCCTCTCTCTCTCATGTCTCATCTTCCCTTTTAAGCTCTTGTTTATTACTTCTTATTTCATTTCATTCTCAAATCCAGTCTCTCTAACTTGTCTTCCTTCGTCTCTTCTGTCCATATCTCTCTCACTTCCTCCTCCAGTTTACCCTAATTCTATTCTCTCTCTCTCTCGCGAGTTGAAATTGAAGGTTTAAGATCATGAAGGAGCTTACCACTCTCCAAGCTACAACTTGATACTGGTATGACGTTTTCAGTTTCAAATTCTCTTAATTCATTCTAGAAACAAGGTCTCTAGCTAGCTAGCTGCTTCCAGTTTCATTATTTTCCTCACTTTCATTAGCTATAGCTAGAGAGACTGTTTGTTTAATTTGTCTGCCTGCCTGTTGCGGACTCTCTCTCTCTCTCTCTATTCTCTCCCCCCTTTATCTCTCTTATATTGGATCACTTTCTCTCTCCTTTTCATGAGATATCATCATAACTTGGCCAGAAAATGCCCAGAGAGGGAAAGTGTTTTGTTTGCTCTCATCAAAAAAGAAAATAAAGTAGTTCTCTCAGATTCTCAATCTCTTATTAGTGTATAGTTTCTCTCATACTTTGCTGTTTCCTTCTTGATCTTCTTCTTAATTACTCAGTTCCTAAATTCACCATTTTCTTGTCCTATCTTCTTCTATCTAGTCTCTTGCCTTTTCCTTTTGTGGATTGAGCAGAAAATATCTAGCTAGCTAGATCATCACTTTCACTTTGGTCGTCCCTCAAAAAGCGAGAAAAAGCCCGTCCTACATTTCACTTGTTAATTTCCATTGCTGGAACTGTTAATTCCCAGAACCTAAAAGAGTTGATCATCACTTTGAAAATTTGACAGCTAGCTAGCTCTCTTTCTTCAGGTGCTAGGAAACTTGCTTGAATTGAAACCGGATAAGTGGTGTTCTCACAGCACTACTTAATTTGAATTTCCAATCCCTCTCGTAATTTCTCTCTTGTGATTTCCCCTTTTGGTCTCCAAACTAGCAAACAAGAGTGAAACAATAACCCCCAGAGAGCCAAAAGAGAAAAAAAGAGGATGGAATTTTCCAGTGAAGAAGGAGAGATCCCAATCCCAATAAACAGTGCCACTTCTTATGGAGGTGGTAATAATGGCCATGGCCACCTGATCCACCATCATCATGAGCCTCCAATCCAAGTCCCTCACCACATGATCTCTAATTCCTCAGTACTACCAGTAGCCTCAGCGCCGCCCCATAACAGCGGGGGAGGAGGAGGAGTAGCCGGTGGCATGGAGGAGGAGGAGGAGGAGGAGGGTCATCACCAGCATGGGCCCTACAGCAGCAAGAAACTAGTGGTGAAGTACAGAGAATGCTTGAAGAACCATGCAGCTTCCATGGGAGGAAATGCCACAGATGGATGTGGAGAGTTCATGCCTAGTGGAGAAGAAGGAACCCTTGAAGCTCTCACTTGCTCAGCCTGCCAATGCCACAGAAACTTCCACAGAAAAGAAGTTGAGGGCCATGAACAACAACAACATGATCATCATTTTCATCAATATCTTCATCATCATCACCACCACCTTCAATATCACAACACTACCAATAATCATCCTTACAGGTTAGGTGGTAGGAAGCTCCTCCTTCCTCCTCCTCCTGAAACTCTTGCTGGCTACCCTACACCACCACCAGGTAACATCCTACCTTCTAGAATGGTCATGCCCTACAATGTCATGGGGTCCCACCACTCATCCCTCCCTTCAGACTTATCTGATGAGCAAGAAGATCATCATCATCATGGGATAATGAGACCATCCCACCATCATCATCAGAACAAGAAGAGGTTCAGGACCAAGTTCACACAGGAGCAGAAGGAGAAGATGCTGGACTTTGCTGAGAGAGTTGGGTGGAAGATTCAGAAACAGGAAGAGTCTGTGGTGCAACAGTTTTGTCAAGAGATTGGTGTGAAGAGAAGAGTGCTTAAGGTTTGGATGCACAACAATAAGCACAGCTCCGCCAAAAAGATCAATCCCACCGCTCCACCACCTCCTCTCACTGCTACTACACCATCTTAATTATGAAAACTATAACTATTTCATAATCGTTATTATTATTATTGTTTTTAATTAACTCTCTGGTTATTTAATTATTAGCTAGTTAAAAGTGTTGACTTTCACTTCCTTCTTCATGTTTAGTACCCTTCTTATCATTTATCTCCGTGGGTCTGTCTTGAGTACTATCTTTGCTCTATAAAATAATATATCTTTGTACTGTGGGTTTAGTTTTACCAGATTTCATTATTGGGTGAAGTTCCATAGATCAGTTCTGGGTGGTGGTGATGCGATGTTTCTTTTAAGCCATTTTATTTAGCGAAGACAGATGGATAATGCAGCAATGAGTCTATAAGCTACGGCTATACTATTCTGTATTATGTTTTCCTTAATTGATACAACGATACGGTTTTTCTTGGTTATTTGATCTTTTATTTATTTATTTATTTATTTCGCCAACTATCTTTTATTTACTTTCATCTTGAGAATTTGCTTTTCGTATTTTTTAAGAGACCTGTCATATTATATGGTTGGGCTTCTGATATTATTTTATGGGTAATTGATACAATAAAATCTACTATAAGTTCCATTATTTATATTTTCATGCTACATGTAATGTATTAAAAATTGAATAAATTAAGAAAAAAAGAAAATGGAAAAATACTTTTTAGGGGAGAAATAGTGGTTCAAAAGTAATTTGCTCAAAAAATAAACAAATTGAATTGAGAGAAAATCTATTATTGTTAGAAATTATATAAAAAGATTGGATGGTATTAAACTTTAATTTAACCTGAAATCTGATCCTTTTTATAAAAAAAATTGGATTAAACTACTCATAATCCGATCTTGTCTAGTGTTAATTCAAAAATTAATAAGACCGTACTTGATTCATAGGACTGAAAAATTAGTCCTATTAGTTTAGTACTTATATAATTTTTTTCTCTATAAGAGGTAATAATCTATTTCAACCTTATAAACTCAATTAAGATAATAAAAATACTTTAAAAATATTTCAATTACAGTCCAAATAATTTAAATTTATAATTTTAATAAAAATAATACTCAACAAATTTCAACAATACTATATTACAACAACAAATTTAGAAACAAACTTAACAAATCTTCAATCATTTTCTTAGCTTTAATTACACTTGAATATTTGTTAAAAATAAATTAATTATAATTATATTAAATAAATTAATAGAATTGAATTGGATCAAATGGTCTAAATGTCCAATGGCCTGTTTAGTCTAACCTAAAAAAATAATTTAATCTTTTTAATTTTTTTAATCTTAAAGGATTAGTGTTTATATAAATTGAATAGGATAAGACCATTTCAAGTTAAATTAAGTCGGATCAAATTGGAGAACTTTTGTATTCTCTTATTAGAAACTGATGTATATCAGAAAAAGTTGAACAAGTTATGTTGAATTATTTTGTCCTCACCTCCAGAGCTTTGGATTCTATTTCCGGGGCAGCGTACTTATGTCATCGGTTACCTCAGGTAACTGTCGCAAAATATACTGTTCATTTATTTATTTAACTAGATAGATATTTTTTCCCATGTAATTTAGTTTATAAATATAGTATTTCTTGACATTATATGTACTATTTTTCTTAATATTTATTTCCAAGTCCAGCTAAAATGAATAAATTATTTAATAAATTAAAAAACATACGAAATATAGTGAAATCTGTAGGAAAACCGAAACAATCGGAAATAATGCACAAAACTGCACTCAAGAGTTGTCTTACTGTTTATGGCCTATGATATTAATCATGCGGCTCCCTAAGTTTTATAATTTATATTGATGTTTTTATAAAAATGATAATATTGATTCACTGTATTTTTGTTTAGGAAAAAGTGTCTTAAAACACGAAAATTAAGAAAAACTTAGCATGATCCATGAGCTATATGAGTTCAAATCCTGTTTAATTATATAAAAAATTTTATTAGTAGGAAATTTGCAAGTGTGTTTATAAGTATTTTTTAAACTCGGTCGCTAAAGTATGTCCATGCCCTCATAAATCTTTAAGATCCAATATAATTAACCTAATTTTTTTTATAACTTATGATTAATGCAAATCCTTAACCCTTTTATATTTTATTCTATTTAAATTTATATTGACAATGATGATTAACGAGCCAAAGCTTATGAAATCAATAGCTAATGACTATAAATTAATATTTTAAGATAAAAACATAACTATAATTAGTACTTAACATCACAACTGAGAATCATGAAAGTTACATTGTATTCTTTTTTAGTATAATAATAATGTTTCTGACCAAAAAATAATATAATAATAATGTTTTATCCATTCTATAAAAAAAAACGTTTTATCCAAGGCTATCATTTATTTTAAAAATGTTCCTAATATCTCAAATGGTAACTTTGAAAAATATTGTTTTAATTATTAGCTCCCATGATTAATCTTAAATAGTACTAGTACTAGCTAGTTCCTGGTAACTCTAATTAGAAGAAGAGAATTAACATAGAGAAGATACAAAGATGTATAAGAAATTAAGTTTAATTTTGACTAGCTTATTTGCTGCATTATTTTGTGATCATCTATAGCTCATTAATTCTATTATCTCTCATTCACTCTTGAATGTCTCTCTAGGTGTTTCTCTCAATCTCTCATTCACTCTTGAATGTTTCTCTAGGTGTTTCTCTCAATCTCTCATGGTCAAAGTGTGGGAAACTAGTTGAAATATCTCATCATCACTTTATTTATAGACTATTTTTATATATAACGCCACAGTTCAATAATGATTTGTTGCGACTTACTTTGTTAACATTATGTTTACATCATCTAATTAAGGCCACAACTTTACAAGGGTTTTCTCATATTTTTTGTAACTCTTTCATATGACATTAATATTGCTATCCTTGTTTGGATTTGAAATCGGTGCATGTCCCTAGTATAGGCATCGAATGCCTATCCCATCTGAGCTGTTAAAATTCATATCAATAATTTTAAATTTATACTTTACCAAAGATTAATGAATGAGTGACATTACTATACATAATTAGCTATAATTGATGGTTATCTTTGCCCATATTTGACAGTTCACAACCATCAAGTAAGCTTACGTCATATATATTGGGGGTGGCTATATTTGACGGTTATGGAACTGTCAAATATTGGGCTTAAATATTTGACGATTGGGGCCAACTGTCATATATAGGTCCTCAAATTTGACCAATAATTTGTTATAACCATCAAATAAGAGGAGGCATATTATAATCAAATATGCCCTTTTTTCAGATTGGGCGATTGCATATCTCACAACCCCTGCATTACAAATAACCAAAATACATCCAAAATACATCCAAATATTTTTTTTCAATTTAGAATACCTACAAAATACATCCAAATAGATATTTTTCATATCATGTTCCAACCTGACTAAATGTGTGCTATCTTCACAAATAGAGCTTCCATATTTTCCTTTGATACTACACTCTAACAAATTACCATAGGCTAAAAAGTCATTTATTATACCAAATAGCAAGGCTTTCAAATTAAAATTTTCTTCCTTGTAGCCATCATGCATCTTAACACCCATCTCTCACAATAGCTTTAGGTCTTTAATTAGAGGTAACCAAGTATATGTCTATATTATTTCCTAGTAGTTTTGGCCTTGAAATTAGCTTGGATATTATCAAATACTTGTGCTTCATGCATAACCATGAAGACAAGTTATAAGTGACCAAAATCACTAACCTTGTTTTGTAAGTACTACTTTGAAGTCCACATGGATTCATTACATTAGGCGATAGTATAAGGCATATGTTCCTATATTTCTTTGCAAACTTAGGATACTCATGATTAATCTTTTCCCATTGGAAACAATCAGTAGGATGCCAAACCTTCCCATCTGTAATCCTTCCATTTGCATGCCATATCAAATTCTTTGAATCAACAACATTACTGTACAAGTGTCTAAATCTCAGTACTATGGGAAAGTATCGTAACGCTTTCTCCAAACTCTTTCCGTTATTCTTATAGCGTGATGTATTACATATAGGACAATGAGTTAATGATACATATTCATTCCTGAATAAAATGCAATCATTAGAGAAAGCATGTATACTCTCATAAATCATGCCCATAGATTGCAAGATCTATTTTATATTGTATGTTTGAGTTGGAAGATTATTACCTTCGATAGCATTTTATGAATAAGTAAAAGAAATTTTATGGATAATAATCAGTCAACCTGACCTTCGCTTTCAAGTTGTATAATCTCAACACAATAGTTAATTTTGAGAATTCAATGCAATCATTGTATGAAGGTGTCTCTGTATCGCTTTTCAACTTCTCAAGTATTTTAAGACAGTCCTCAAATTCCTCCTCAATTGCATTGGCCATCTCTTCAACATGATCTACCTCTTCTGTATTTGAGTTGAAATCATGTGATACAAAACTACTACAACTATTTTTTGTCAAATTTCTTGCTTCACCATGCTTATACCAACAATTGTAAGGTTGATTAATTCTACAACACATTAAATAATTTTCCAACTCACTCTTGCTAACCTACTTTAAGAGACCATATCTTACACAATGGCACACAATACATTTATGTCATCTTTATACTTGACAGTGCAAACTTAATAAATTTTTTAACCCCATTCAAATATTCCTTTGATATTCAAGTTGTAGACATTCATGTCTTATCTATAATCTTGATCTATCAAAAGTTAATTTAAGAAATGTGATTAGTGGCTAGCTCAGTCATATTAGAGGAGTACTTGCGACACACACGAGGAATGTTAACTAATTAAACCCATCCATGAGTTATCCACTACATGCAACATAATTCCTCTTTAAGCTAAATTAAAATAAATAATTGCAACTATACTTAATTCCCTAAGAAACTAAGTATATATTCCAAGTATTAAATGAAATTTGACACTTAACGACTTAAAAATGAGACTTTCTTGAGCATATGCCCTCTATTTTTACTTACATACCTATTTAATATAATCAAACATAATTATTCCATCCAACTCAATCACAACAATTTAAAAATATAGCAAATTTAATTACTTTTAAGCAAAAATCTAGCAACATGATGACTTAAAAATGAGACTTTTCTCAGGCATTTTGCCCTTATTTCACACTAAATTTCATCTACGCACAATTTAATATAACCTAATTTAACTCTACTTAGCGATAACAACAACAAAATTCACAATACAACTCAACCTAAGTCACAAAAAATTTATAGATATAAGAATTTTCATTAAGTTTACAATGAGAACCAAATTCTAAATGAATCAAGCATCCTTCCTCAAGTAAAGCATCAAAGGTAGAATACCCACAATATCCATAAGAACAATAGGCAATAAAAAGTTATTAATTCAAATAACAAAGGCAAAAAACATTCAAATTATCAATCTTTATACTA